ACTTGGAAATTGTGCTGAGAACTTTAAGGAGGAGGCAGTTGTATGCAAATGTCAGTTTTGGTTAGATAGAATTAGTTTCTTGGGGCACGTGATTTCTGCTGAAGATATTTATGTGGATCCCCAAAAGGTGGAAGCAGTGGTAAACTGGCCGCGACCAACTAATGTCACTGAGGTACGAAGTTTTCTTTCGCTTTGTGGAGGGTTTCTCCACCATAACGACAAGTAGTTAGGGGTCATTGTTTGGTTCGTGGGCTCAAAGGCCAATGAGTGCCCATTCAACCCATTGAGGTAAAGCCTAACTTGATCGACCCATAAAAGCCCAGCCCAAACACATACATAAATATAAGGGTGTGCAAGCACCTTTTTTTTTTTTTTTGGGTCATTTGTTGGGGGGGGGAGAGGGAGAGTATTATATTAAACTGCCTCAAGATTGTTTTTTAAGTGAATTGAACCCAGGTGCACTTGGGAAGGGGAGAAAGAGTTTGACCCACTTTTTCCACTATGGTGTCACCTCATATGCGGTGTGCAAGCCCAATGAACCTCCATTAGTTTGTAAAAGCCCAACCCAACCCCGCCCCAAGCCCTATAATTTTGGGAAATCCCCCTAGCTAGAAGCACTTCCATCTTTAATGACAATAATGTGGTTGGTTGGTTACAAAATGTAACCATGGTTGGTTATTGCCTTTGCTGGCCATTAGAGCATCTCCACCCACAAGGGCAAAGTCTAGGGCAAGTCTAAGGCAATTACTATTCATTGTACTTTATTTTCAATTTTTTTATAGTTTAAACCATTAATTTTGATAATCTTTTGTAATTAAATTTTCGGATAAGATTTTCACCCTCTAAAATTGTGCCACGTCTGATGTAGAACAAATGTCAGATTTTATCGCTTGAGTTAGAAAAAGGACGTAGTGGGAATTTGCAGATTTGTCGTCCGAGCTCTGATTAGGACGCAAAATACCATTTCGGAAAGGGAACGACGCCACGAGTCAAACTCACTGCTTTGCTGTGACGTATGATGGATTTTGGCATTTTGAGGTCGTTTGGCCTTCCAAAACGGCATTTAAAGTTTCGTAGTTAATTTTCAGTATTTTAGATTTTAATAAAAATTATTCAAAGAAAATTCCTTTTAAAATTGTGCCATGTGTCAAATGTTAGATAACATTTTCAGATATTTTTAAAAAATTTTAATCTCAGATTTTAGATAAGATTTTCACCCTATACAATTGTGCCACGTGTCAAATGTCAGATAACATTTTCAGATATTTTTAAAAAAATTTAATCTCA